CTCCTTGTACCCCCAATATGTTTTTCCCAATAAAAAAAGTATTAAAAAAATTTAAAAAAAGAGTGCATATAATGACAGGGAGAAAAGTGCAGCAATGAATGAATGGAAATCCAAAATCTCTATAAATGCTTATTAAAATTAATAAAAATGGGGAAAAAAAGAATAAATTATGTCCAAAAAAAGTGCATATAATGGTACAAGCAGATAGATATTTTTCAGTAGCAAATGCCTGTGGCTTTTAAATGCCAATATTTATGCCACTGCCTCATCACTTCTAATCTATTTTCTGTCTCTGTAGATGTGCTTTTTTAGCTATTTCATATAAGTGGATTTATACAGCATTTGTCCTTTTAGGGTTGGCTTTCTAAACTCAGTATGATGTTTCAGGGTTCAGTCATGTTATAAATGTATTAGAATTTTGTTCTTTTTAAAGGCTGAATAAATAATACTCCACTGCATGGATAAAACACAATATTTGTTCAATTGTTGATGGACACTAGTTTTCCACCTCTGCTATTTTGAATAAATATTGCTTTGACTATTGAAAAAAAAAAAGAATTCTATTGATGAAACATGTCATGGTTTATCCAGCCTGTTGTTAATGAGCATTTGAGTTCTGTTCTTTTTTGGCTAGCAAACAATGCTATTTATAAATGTTCTTGTTCCTGAGTTCTGATAGACAAAAACATGTATTTATATGGTATAGATACAGAGTAGAATTGCAGAATCATGGAGGATTCTGATTTTTCACTTATTCCTAGATACTTTTGGCCTAGTGGCAAGAAGCCTTGCTGCAATCCTGAAGGCATGCGGTTCAAGGCCACCAGCTGCTGCGTGGGGCAAGGATGGACAATCTGCTCCTGTGTGATTAACTGTCTCTGAAGGGTCAGCTATGGGTGGTTCTGACTCTATGGTATACAACAACAACAACATTATCTAAATAGTCCAAGTATTTTTTAAAAATATGTATGAAAGGATTACCATTCCCACTGTAATAAAAAATATATATAAATTAAAAATTTAGGGAGCTTTGGTGGCTGAGTAGCAAGGAACTGTACTGTAATGCCAAAGGCACACGGCTGGAATCCACCAGCTGCTCCATGCAAGAAGGGTGGACAATCTCCTCCCGTGTGACTTACTGACTGAAAACCCACTGGAGGATCAGCTATGGGTTAGTTCCAACTCGATGACACACAATGACACATTTATAATATGTAAGAGCAAGACTAGGACTTATAATATCATAGACAGATTGTTACATATTTCTGCCCACTATTGAAAAGCTTTGCTGGGGTTCCTGCTCTTATTTGCGGGTGCGTGGCCTTTAGACAAAGCACTTTCAAATGAAAATGCAGCTGAAAGTACATGTTCTCTATTTATGCCTCCTTTTAGGTCCTGGGAAAATGTAAATCTTATAACGTACCTTATAATCATCCAGCCAAACATATGTCAGTCTCAGATTGTTGTATAAAAGGGCTTTAGTTAACCTCCAATCCCTATAGAGATATCCTTTAGTGAGGTGCCCTACTCGAGAGCATGGGAGTATGAAGAGTTGGCCTCCACACATCCAGATCTAGATACAAGAAAAAGAAAACATACATGTATTTACTTAATGCACAACTGCTCAATTCTTATTTATAAGGAATAACAGCTAACAAGTTTGTTTCACTTAATTCTCATAACTCTCACAATGACTCATTGCTGTTGAATTGGAACTGCCAGTGGATTTTCAGAAGATGCAAATCGCACATGATGAGATTTCCCATCTTTTTCTTGCAAAACAGCTGGTAGATTTGAACTGTCTCTGGACTGAGAACACAATTCCTTAAACACTAGGCCACCAGACCTCCCTGTATTGTCCATGCTACAATTATCCCTGTTCTGCAGGTGGAGAATGTACTATATAGCTTGGTTAGGAAATTTGACAAATAGCTGTCATATGCAGAAGATAGTGTTCAAATTCAGGAAATTTGGCTACAGAAACTCAGCTCGAAAAACAAGATCATTCTACTTCTCATAAATGACCAAAGCTGATGCTGATCTGTGTTTTTAAAACCACCTGAGAATAGGTTTTGTTAGGTGTGAATAGCAAGAGAAATGCTGATGATGATGGAATAAGGTTATTACTAATTTATTTTGTGACAACTTTTGGTTTTTTAACTCCACAAAAGTAAAACATAATATTTGCCATGGAGTAACAGGCAAATACTAGAATGTACACAGAAGAAAAGGAAAAAAAATCATACACACTTGGATTAATACCAACTAGCTTACAATGTGGGACTGGAAATGATTTTGTAAAAAAAAAATCTTGGGTATGCAAACCAGAGGGAGCACTGGTTGTCTAGTGGCAAAAAAGTTGTGCTGCAATCCCAAAGGCACATAATTTGAACCCACTAGCTGCTTTGTGGGAGAAAAATGGGCAGTCTCCTCCCAAGCAATTAATTCTGCTTGGCGGGTCACATATGTATTGGTTCCAACTCTATGGTACACAACAACAACAACAAAATGTAAACCAATAGCAAGCATAAAATGTAAAAAATCCCCCCAAAACCACCAACCCCCCCACAAACTCTTCTAGTCTCAACATTCTAAGCTAGTTGCTATTAATCCATATATATATATATTATTAACAATATGGCTCACGGTAGAAAGATGAAGAGCAGGTCTGAACCCTGTTCATCATCATCTGAATCCTGTGCCATCCTCATCCGTTCTGACATACTTTCCAGGCATGATGTCTCTCTCCAAGCAATAGCATCTCCTAGCTGCAAGACCAAAGTGTGTGAAACAAAGCTTTATCATCTTTGCCTCCAAAGAAGCACTCTGTCTGCACTTTCTTCAAAACATAACTTTGTATTTTTGGCAGTCAGTGGGATATTCTATATTCTCCAACAAACACCACAGCTCAAAGACATCAGTTCTTCTGTCATCCCTATTTATTTTCCAGCTCTCAGATGCATAGCAAGTGATTGGAAAGTTTGTGCCTGGAAGCAGGCCCACTTTAATCTTTAAATGGATATCATTGCTCCTCATTAATTTGGAAAGGTCCCTGACTGCAGATTTTCCAGTGCAGTACGTCTCCTGATCTTCTGACTGCTGGTACCAATGGTATTGATTGTGGATCAATGATGTCCAAAGGTGAGAATTTGTGGGTTGGTTTTTTAATTTTTTTAATTGAAGGCTCTAGTCTGATTTTTCCGCAGCAAGCACTTCAAGTCATCTTCTCTGTCAAGGTTATGTCAAGGTTATAAGCAAGGTTATGTCAATTGCATAATGCAGGTTATTAATGAATCTTCCCTCAATCCTGATGCCACATTCCTCTACATCGAGTATAGCTGCTTGAATGATTTGCTCAGCATATAGATTGGATCAGTTTAGAGAGAGGCTACAACTGTAACACCTTTCTTAATCTTAAATCATGCAGTAATCCCTGTTCTTATAATTGCTTCTTGGTCTAGGTCTAGGTCTAGGTCTAGGTTTCATCTTAGCACAATTAAGAGTTCTAAGATTCCAATTCTTCTCAAGATTAGCCATAATTTGCTATGAACCACAGCCAAATGCCTTTGCATAGTCAATAAAAACACAAATAGACATTTCTCTAATAATCTCTGCTTTCAGCTACAACCCATCTGACATCAATAATGGTATCCTTGGTGCAATGACCTCTTCTAAATCCAGCTTGAATTTCTGGTAGTTCTTTATGTATTATTCTGGTCATTTTTAAATGCTCTTCAACAATATTTTGCTTGCATGTGATATTAAATATATTACTCAATAATTTCCACATTCATTTGAATTACCTTTCTTGAGAGTGGGAACAAGTATGGATCTCTTCTATCCAATCAGTTAGCCAAACAGCTGTCCTTCAAATTTCTGGCATAGAAACATTTATTGAGCAAATCCAGGGCTGAATCTGTTAGTTGAAACAAATCAATTTGTATCCCATCAATTGCTGGGGCCTTATATTTTTGTCAATGTTTTCAGTAAAGCTTGAATTTCTCCTTCTATTATCCTTGGTTCTTAATCATATGGTACTTCCTGAAATACTTCAATGTCAGTCAATTCAGTGATTCTGTGTATTTTCTCCATCTTCTTTTGATGCTTCCTGGGTCACTCAAGATTTTTGCCCACAGCATCTCTCAGTTTTGCAACTTGAGGCTTGAGCTTGTTTTTAAGTTTTTTCAGCTTGAGAAATGCTGAGCGAGTTCTTCCTTTTTTATAGCCAATTCCAGGTCTCTGCACATTTCATTATAATACTTTGCTTTTTCTCCTCAAGCTCCTCTTAAAAATCTTCTGTTCAGGCACATAGACCAATGAAATAGAATTGAGACCTCAGAAATAGGCCCGTCTATCTATGGTCAACTGATATTCAACAGGAAAATAAAACCTATTAAATGGGAAAATTACCACCTCTTCATCAAATGGTGCTGGCAAAACTGGACTTCTACCTGCAGAAAGCTGAAACAGGATCCACATCTCACACCATACACAAAATTCAACTAAAAGTAAATCAGAGACCTGTGAGTAAAGCCCAAAACCGTAAAGTTCAACAGAGACAAACTAGGATTCACGCTTAGAAGGCCTAGGCTATGGTACAAAGAGTCTGCCAAATAAAGCCAGAAATGCACAATCTGGAAAGGATAAAATTGATGAATGGGACCTTCTAAAGATTAAATCCCTACACGCATCAAAAACATTTTCTACCAGGGTGAGAAGAAAATCTACTGAATGGGAAAAAAAAAATTGTAATACCATTTCAGACAAGGGTCTCATATCAAAAGTTTACAGAATACTATAGGGCCTTCACAAGAAAAAGACTGATCACACAGCTACAAAATAGGCAACAGACATGCAAAGAATTTTCACAGTGGAGGATATTTGGATGGCCAACAGACACATAGAAAAATGCTCAAAATCACTGACAGTGAGGGAGATGCAGAATCAAAACCACAAAAAAATAAAAAACCATCTCACCCTAGTAGCAGTGGTAAGGTTTAACAGGACAGCAAGTAATAAATATTGGAGAGGATTTGGAGAGATAGGAACTCTTATACATTGTTGGTGGGATTGAAAAATGGTACAACCACTCTGGAAGGCAGTTTGGTGCTTCCTCAAAAAGCTGAACATTAAAATTCCACATGACCCATGATCCATATGATTTCGTAAATTACTACATAACTTGGGAGGGACTGGAGAGCATTATACAAAATGAAGTAACTCAGCCCCATAAGAACAAATACTGTATAAAGCTATTATTGTACGAGTATAAGGATCCAAGAGGGGAAGTGGAGAGCAGAGGGGTGAGGATGGGTGGGGTGTGGGTGATAATCATAGGGTCACAAAATTTGATGAGTGGGGAGTGGGGGTGAATGAAATGGGAAAGATCTGGAGTGAAAAACAATGTATGCATGTTAATACCACTATTCAAATATACACAACAATAACTAAAGGCAAAGAGACAGAAATGAAAGATTTTTACCAAATGTTACAATAATGGTTTTAGACAGCATTTCTTCTTGTGCTCCTGAGTGAATTCACTTATCATACTGCTCTCTAGTCTCTCCTTTTTAATACGGTCTTTTTTTCAAAATCATTGCTCCTGAGTGCTGCTTAGTATTCTCTTGTGTCAATGTACCACAATTTCTCAATCCAGTCATTTATTGATGGGCATTTGGGCTGTTTTCATATTCTTGCAATGGTGAATATTGTTGCTCTGAAGATTGTTGTACATGTCTCTGTTTATGCCTCCGTTCTCATTTTCTCAGAGTATATCCTAAGCAGTGGAATAGCTGGGTCATATGGAATTCCTATGTTCAGCTTTTTGAGGAAACGCTAAACCATTTTACAATCCCACCAACAGCATATATGAGTTCCTATCTCTCCACATCCTTTCCAACATTTATTACTTGCTGTCCTGTTAAATTTAGCTACTGCAATTAGAGTGAGATAATATCTCGCTGTGATTTTTATTTGTGTCTCCCTTATGGCCAATGATTTTGGGTATTTCTTTATGTATCTGATTGCCATCTGAAATGAATCAAACATGCAATTAAACATGCAATTCTAGTTGGTGACTAGAATGCAAAAGTTGGAAACAATGAATAAGGAATGGTAGTTGAAGAGTACAGACTTGATGATAGAAATGAGACCAGAAAGAGAATGACTGAATTTTGTAACTTCGATGATTTATTCATTGCAAATGCCTTTTTAAAGAAACACTAACGGCAACTTCACACATGAACCATACCAGTTGGACTGCATATGAATAAGACTGACTACATCTCTGGAAAGAATTGGTTCAGTACCAGCAGATAAAACCAGACCAGGTGTGGACTGTGGAACAGACCATCAATTACTTATGGGCAAGTTCAAACAGAGGTTGAAGAAAAGGCAAACAAACCCATGAAAAGCAAATTATGACCTTAAGGCTATCCCACTTTATTTAAAAAACCATCTGAAGACTAGGTTAGAAGCACTGAACACCAATGATCGAAGACTGTAACAACAGACTGTGAGGATAACTCAGGACAGGGCAAAGTTCCGATCTGTTCTTAGGGTTTCGAGGAGTTGTAATTGACTTGAAGGCACCTAACAAAAAGCACATCTACTATTCTCCACACTAATTGTTTCATCAAGTCATCACAAAATTTTGAGAATGACATTTATGGGTGAGGAAATTGAGGACTAGAAAATTATTTACTTGGCCACATTGCTAGTAAATGATAGTGGCTCATTCATAAATGTTCTATGGATTTATGTTTTTTTAATTTATTTTTTATTATGATGTAATTCACAGAGCACACGATTTACCACTTTAAATTGTACAAAGCAGTACTTTACAGCATGTCTACAGGTTGTGCAATCATCACCATTATCTAGTTCTGGAACATTTTCTACTAGAATTAACAACCCACGTACGATAAGTTTCTTACTGCATTTAACACCAGAACTGCATTAGATGTTGATGTAGGAAAACTGGATAGAATTACAAATCTGGACTACTTACCAGATTATATTTACTATGAGTTAAGTTTCACTCTCTCTATACTGAGGTAATAATTCTAAAAGTAAATTCTGAATTACCCTTAGTGAAAGTTCCACATTTTCTCCTCCCCAGAGTTCCATGCCTTTGTCAAACTGTCCAATACTGTTAAAATAATGCTTGTGTATAGCAAAAATTCCTCCAGCCATTGCAGGTGACCTAGAAAGGAAACATAGATACTAAAGTGACTCTACAGAGGTGGTAACTATGGATTTCCCCCTCAACAATAATAGTATTAACTTATAAAATACAAACATGTTCATTTACGCCAAGATTGCTAATTTTTAGTTAATTTACTGTTGCACATTTTCTTCCCTCCCCCCCTTTCCTCTATTCCTCTTTACAATGCACCTCTTGTTTCAGACTGTTGTGATACATATAATACCTAATCACATATTCCTTTCAGATTGTTCTTCCCCTCATCTGTTCCAGTGAAGCACTCATTATCTGTCTAGTCTTTTCCTATTCTCTCCCCAACCCCCATGTCAGTTCTGTTTTAAAACAGCAGTGTTACTCTGCTGAGTGAAATATCTCAGTCACAAAAATGGCTATTTTAATAAACATTAAAATATGTGACATGATCAAACCAAAGCAGTAATTACCTAAAATTAGACAGTGAGTTTTAGAGAGGTGTCATCAAACCATGTAAGTTACACATTCTAAATTTTGTCTTCTTAAGATGGAAAACCAAGATTCGGCATATGAGTTTCCCATCAGGGTATTGATAAAATTGGATGGTGGAGTTCAGAGTTTTACATTAATCTGAGCACTGAATTAAATGTAATGTTTACTTTTGTGAAAGTTATAATGTCATGAAGCATCTTATTTTAACTACTAAGCCCAATGACACCAAACTCTTTAAGCAGTTAATAATAATTAACTGCAAATAATTTCATGTTCGTTCATCCATTTGCTAATTTTCTAGAAAAAAGTTTTACTGGTGTTCATACACATCACGCTTTGCTCATTTGCTTTGTAAAGTATAGAACACATGTATTTTAAGGACAAATTTGTCTATTAGCAGACAAAGATCACCACTCTTTTTTTTTTTAAGCTGCAGAACAGACTTCTAACTCCTCTATTTGGCATTTGAGCTCCAATATAAAATGAGTTCTCTTGTTCTTCCCTGAATTTTCTTCTGCTCAGTATTTCTACCTACCCTGCCAGGCCCCTTGTCTTAGTTATCCGGGGCTGCTATGACAAAAATACCACAACGTGAGTGGCTTTAATTAACAGGAATTTCTTTTCTTAGTTGTGTTGTTTTTTTATTTTTTTATTATTTTTTAAATAATTTTAATGAACATTTACAGAGAATTTGGATTTCCATTCATTCATTGCTGCACTTCTCTACCCACCCAGCCCTCTCCCCCCGCCCCCCAGTTCGCTCCTCTCTTTAAAAGTAAAAGAAAGACTCCCTCCCTGGTACACAATCCCCCCGCACCCCTCCCACCACCCCAAGTACATTCCACTGTGCAACCTTAATTGTGGACTCTTGTGATAACCATAATACCCTACCATACATTGCTTTTAAATTATTCACTCCCTCATCTGTTTCAGTGCAGTGTACACAGTTTATCCAGTTTTTCTCAGTCTTACCCCAACCCTGATATCAATCCCATTTTACAACAGTGGCACCATGCAATATTCATCCCTCTGTGACTGAGATACTTCACTCAGCATAATATCCTCCAGGCCCACCCATCTTGAATAATATTGAATGCGTTCCTTGTTTTTCAATGCAGCATAGTATTCCATTGTGTGAACACACCACAGCCTCTTCATCCATTCATTTGTTGATGGGCACCTGGTTGTTTCCAACTCCTTGCTATTGTGAACAGAGCTGCGATAAACATGGGTGTGCATATATCTGCTTGGATGTCAGTTATGGTCTCTTTGGGATATATTCCCAGTAGTGGAATTGCTGGGTCAAATGGTATCTCTATTTGCAACTTTTTGAGAAAGCGCCATACCGCCTTGCACAGTGGTTGCACCAGATCACCACTCTTGGGGGGCCAGAATAGAAGTAATGGGGTCAGTTAGTGGTCATTGCAGTAGTTTGAGAGGAAGAGGCGAGGATCTTGGATAAAGACAGTAAGAGTAAGGATAATGAGTAGTGGTCCAATTCTAGGTATGTTTTAAAGATGGAATCATCCAATTGATTTATTTACAGATCAGATGTGAGATGTTTGAAGAAGAGATGAAGAAGAGACAGACAAGGCTGTGATGAGAATCTCTTCAAACTTTACAACCAAGGCATTTGGCATGATTAAGGCTTCTGAATGAAGTGTAGCCCTAAATCCATTTTTGTGAATTTGACTATCAGAAGTTGTGTCTGCTTTGAAAGTCCCAAAATGTTTGCTTACTAGGTCAAGGTTTCATTGAAAATTTTCTCCCACCTCCTTCAAATTCCAGAAAACACATGACTGATCTACTAAAGTTAAAATTCAACCAGTAAGAACTACTGTATGACCCGGCTATACTGCTGCTAGGAATATACCTCAAGGAAAACAGAACTGAAATACAAATGGAAATTTGTCGCCAATGTTCATAGCAGTATAATTCACAATGACAAGATTATGGAAACAGTCCAAATGTCCATTAACAAATGACTGGATTGAGAAATTGTGGTACATTCACAGAATGGAGTACTTTGCAACATTCAGGAGCAACAATTTTAAAAAATACTATATAGCATGGGAGAGTCTATATAGCATTATTCTGAGTGAACAAATACAGGTGCATAAGGACAAATAGTGTATCAGACCATTATTGTAAAAACCAGAAGGATAGGATGTTAAGGGTGATGAGGGGAGGTATCACAGGGTCACAGAGTTTGGTGGGTAGAGGGAGGGGGGGGAAACCTACCCAAAAACAAACCCAAAAACCAATGTCCATGAATGAAACAGAATTTTTTTAAATGCAAGGAAAAAAAAACCCCTTCTAGTTCTAAGCAGCTTTAATAAAAGGCAACCAACCAAATGCTTACACACAGTGCTGACACTTTACAGTTTTTTCCTTTAAAGCATTATTTTGTCTCTCTGTAATTTGGAACATTCAATTTCATTTTTAGACTATGGGTTTGCAGTCTAAATTGCATTTATTCCTTCCATAAAATGCCTTGTTTAGAGTGAAGATTCTTCATTTTACTCCTAGACATTTATTGGTGTTGGATTGTGATATTTGAAGGCATCTTATCTTTAGTGGTTCCAATAAGTTGAGGACCCAAAGTTACAGTGCTAGTATGAGCCCTTTTAGTTCCTCTGTGCTGCAATCCCAAAGGCACATGGTTCAATTTACCAGCTGCTCCTTGGACAATCACCTTTTCAATCTATATGGAGAACAGGGGGCCGGGCTTTATGAGGAGAAATGTGGCATCAGATTGGTGGGAGACTCATCAACAACCTATATTATGCAGATGAGACAACTTTACTTGCTGAAACTGAAGAGGACCTGAAGCACTTGCTGCAGAAGATCAAGGTCTGCAGTCTTCAATATTAATTGAAACTGAGCATCAGGAAGACAAAGATTCTCATCAGTGGGCCTATTGGTGCATCATGACAGATGGAGAAGAGATTGAGGTAGTTAACAGTTATAGCTTGCTTGGCTCCATAATCAGCACTCTTGGTACCAGGAGTCAGGAAATGAAAAGGTGAATTGCACTGGGAAAATCTGCTGCCAGATACCCCTCCAGAATACTGGAAAGCAATGATGTCAGTCTAGAGACTAAGGTGTGCCTGATCTAGGCCACGGTCTTCACAATTACTTGCTAATGCAATAAGAGAGCTGGACAATGACTAAAGATGACAGAAGAATTGATTCCTTTGAGTTACAGTGCTGGAGTAGTTTTGAACATACCATGGACTGCCAAGAAAACAAATAGGTCTGTCTTGCAAATGATGAACTAGTTTATCCTTGGAGGCTAGGATTTTGAAGGTCTGTCTTAAATACTTTGGTCACATGGCCAGGAGAGACTGGTCCTTGGAGAAGTACATCATGCTCAGAAGGGTGGAGGAATAGCCAGGAGAGGAAGACCTTGGATGAGATGGATTGATACAGTAACTGGAGCAATGCGGTAGGTGTGTTGGAGTCAATGAGATTGGCTCAGGATAGGGCAGGCTTCAGAGCTATTGAACATAGGGTCAGTATGTGTCACAGACAATTTGATGGCACATAACAACAACAGCAGAGTTTCCTCTGTTGGCCTCTTTGGTAAGGAGCTGCATTGCAACCCAAAGACCATTTGAATCCATAGCTGCTTCATGGGAGAAAGATGTACAATCTTCTCCTGTGTAACTTACAGGCTTTGAAAACCCACCGGAGGGTCAGCTATGAGTTGCTTCTGACTTGATGAAACGTAACAACAACATTGTCACTTAAGGTTTATTATAGACATTCCACTACATGGATAATTGGCTAACATTGAGAAGAATGAAAATTACAGAATAATTAATTGTGTTCATAAGAAACCTATGCATAAATTAAGTAAGAAAAAGTTTTTCAAACAGAACAGGAAGACCCTGCATGATATAAATTCAGGAAAGTTATGTGTTAGGTGTGTATTCTTTCTCTGTGTTGTTGTATCGTTGACTGTCTTTGAATCAAGCACAACTCATAGCGACCCTATGAACAAAATACTTGTACTCTTTTCTATAGCTATTGTACTTTCTCTAAGTTCATAAAGTTTCCAGAGGCATGCCTTTATCTGGGAGCGCACCAAACACTGTCCTCCATAGGTAACTGTTATGGCATTTGACACCCCAATGGCACAAGTTTCAGCATCACAGCAACCCCAGGTTGCTCAGTACAACAAATTGACAGACCTGTACTGCACCACTTAGAAGAATGTTCCTCCAAAATATAATTATACTAGGCCCTCAGGCCTTGGGCCCAACAGACTTTTAAATACAAGGGTGCTCCACAAGGTGGTGTTGACTCTAAACAAGAGGCTTCAGTAAAAACAACCAAACATTCCACACTGACAATCAACCAAAACAAAAGATCCCACCTGTCAGAGTCCAACTCCCTTTCTCTATACCTATTCAGTATGGACACCGAGCAAATAACCCAAGAAGCTGGATTATACAAAGAATTTGGCAGGATGATTGGAAGAAGACTCATCTACAACCTCAATTATGCAGATGACACAAGCTTACTTCTTG